GGGATATCCCCTTGGCCGTGGAATGCATAGCACTCTTAATAGCGCAGTCAAACGGGTCAGGAGATAACCCTTCATATTTTGCCCACACTTCATATTTTACATCTTGTCTTAAACTTGACATCAATTTATATCGATTGCCTCTGCAGCCAGAAAGGAAGCAACCGAACTCTGCGGCTTACAGTCACTTTTTCCTCCCCATCTGCCGTACAGAAGATCATGGAGCGGGCTGGCAGCATTCAAAAGGCCAACCCAGTGATCAGGCCTCTATCTGAGGATCACCCTCTAGAGGCGGGAAAGCTTGGTCGCAGCAGATCAGGGGTAGAGGCGCGAAACAGGCTTCCGCTGGGCACCAATTCAGCCAACCCAAAACTCATGACCAAGCCGATTGCGGTCATATTTCCCTGTGTCCCCGGAAGCAGGCCGACGAAACCACCCGCGTCTCCGGACAGCAGTTCTTATTCGACCGCAACAGGATTCTTGCCCACCAAAGGCAGTGATGCCCTGGGGGAGGCAAACCTCACATGCAAGCAGCACCCAAACTACGTGGAGCTATCAACGCTTGTCTCCGTTACAGGCGACACAGCTGCAGCCGTGCACTCCTCAACAAAGCCACAACCTCTGAACTGTACTGAGTCAGATGTGCGGGGACGAACAGCGAAGCCAATCTCCAGCTCCACTCCGTCAAAAGCGGCCTCGCTGTCTGCGGACAAAACCGTCGCTCGGTCCATAAACGTGACTACAGCCAACCGGAAAATCCCCCGTACATCCAGTTGGTCACGCTGATCGCTCGCGGATCGGGTGTCCACACAAGCACGAGAGAAGAGCGACTGCAGCCAAACAAGCCACGTAAAATTCGCCAGATTAGAAAACTGCTGGCTGGCTTCATGGTGCAGTCCTCCGCGAAAACGAGCCTTTTGGAAGCGCCACCAAAAGCAGTATTTCTTGGTGCCGCCACCCAGCGCTTAGGGCCTCACAGAGACACTTTTCCGGTCAAACCGCACCGAAACACCCAAAAATCCGGGGAGGCGAAAGCTTGCCGCAAATCTGTGATCAACGGCAAATATGGTCACCAGAAAGGCGGTGCTGAAAGAGCTACAAACAGCAGCATTTAAAATTGTTGCCCACGGGGAGAAAATTCCGCCCCCGAAAGACAAAAGGCTCGAGCAAACCGGGCTCCAACGGAACGAAAAAAACCTCGCAAGCGAAAAGCACCCCCGGAAACCACGAAGACAGGAAGCAGACGGCATCGGCCCAGGGGCTCCTTCGGAGCCTGGGACTCAAACCCGGCGCACAACTATTAAGTCTGCTAACCACCATGGTCACTCAACCTTCGGCTTCTCACCTTCGCAGGCGGCAGAGACGGTGTTGAAATGCTTGTCCAAAGACTGCCTCAGCCTTTTCAACAAACCCGGCGATGTTAAACAGTCAGCTTGCTTTGAACAACTGTCCATAATCGCACTGACAGAGACCTGGCTCACACCGGATGTCTCTGACGCGAAGATCTCGATAGACGCTTACTCTATTTTTCGAGCTGACTCAAAACGAGGGAGGGCTGGTGGGGTTGCTCTGTACTTACATGCGGCCCTACCAATCCCGATTGTCCTCACTGATACCACCCCTGCACTCTTTTTTCGATGCACTGTGGGTCCAAGCCCACTGTGCGGGTCTGATTCTCTCCTTCTCTGTGTGGTCTACCGTAGCCCCTCGAGTCCACCTGAAGATGACCAATTCCTCATACACACCCTCGAGCAACTCTCCTTCAACTACCACTTCACTCATCTCCTGCTGGTAGGTACTTCAACGGTCCACAGGCCTCCTGGGTGGAGCTCCAGCGCGTCGAATCAGGCGGACTTTTTGCAGCGCGCTGTTTGAAGTCGTTCAACAGAGCGCTTGGACCCAACATGTCGCTGCACTCACCAGATATCGTGCAGGCCAACTACAATCCCTCCAGGATTTGGTCATCACCAGCGAAAGACACCTCGTTGATCAGGTAACAATTAACGCTCCACTGGGGCATATCGACCACTGTGTTCTGATCTTTGATTTCATCTGCTATTGGGCGAGAAATCCCAAACCTTAAACGTGGTTTCGAGACTCCTGCCGTTCAGACTTCTCAGGAATGCGCATCTTCCTTGAACAAGTCACACTGGGACCAGCTCCGGTGAAAGAACTATATAGGACCATGGTCCGGAAAGTTCACGAGGCTGACGCGACGTTCGTCCAAAAAAACCGGGACGCACTCGGATGAACCGCAGGATGCCAAAAAGGATTCGGCGACTTCTGGAAAAAAGATCCCATCTCTTTTTCAAAAAGTTGACTACAGTGAATACAGAAGATGAGCTGGCATTTCGTAAAATGCGTAACCGCTGTAAATCGGAAATCCGCCAATGGAACATTCGAAAACAAGCCACCATTCTGGACCTCGCTCGAATAAACAAAAACGTACTGTTCAAGTACATGAGACATCGCCGGAGAAACAAGCCATCCGCGTTCTCCTCGAGGGACAGAAACGGAGAACCGTCAAGCGACCCAACAGTGGTATCTGAGGTTTACAGAGAACACTATGCGTGTCTATACTCAG